GGCCGACAGGAGGAAGCAGACACCTCCCCGACCAGCTGCATCGATGGCTGCTGCTGCCGAAGCTGCTGCTGTGGCCGATGGGCGCCATCGTTGGTACACGTTTGCCCCTGCTAAGCCGGCGGCTGTGATAGATGCTGTGTGGCGGCTGTGGCAGTGGCGGTGGCAGTGGCGGGAAAGGGATCCGTAGGTAATTCCTGGGCTGCCGCCTGGGCATCAGCCGCCTTCCACAGCATTCCTCCTTCTTACCCACTTGTGAAAAGTGCCTACCAGAGAGTGTTGTGATGCACACCCAGGGGTTCGTTCCGCTGCAGTGTATTCTGTGTTATGTAGGTTCATCATTCCACCGCCGGGCAGCTTGCGCATGTGCACACGGCACACGAAAACACATGATTTACGTTTGGCTTTTGAAGATGGTGGAGGGGTGGAGGGGTGTTGCACGGGGTGCGGCTGTGGCCTTCCGCTGCTGTTAGTAGTAGTACATGTGCGCTCCTCAGGCAGCATATTGGAGCTCCGTGCAGATGCATGGTAACCAGGAGTGTACCCGTGGTGTGGCCAGACCACGGGACTGCCTGATGGATTTCGCCCCAGCCACCAACCGGTACACCTTCTCCAAGGCGAGCTCCAGGACATGCTGCTCGGGAGATATCAGCCGTGACCCCGGAGACCGAGTAAGTACTGCACGGCCATGTATTTCTCTGTGTCAACTACCCTCACTCGGCCGCGAGCTAGGATAAAAGGTTGCTTTGCCGGGCAGGGGGTTAGGAGAGGGTGCCAGGTCCAGTCCCAGATCACGCATGTCAAATGTGATCTATATAGAGTTCTGGCGTCGCGTATGCGCAAAGCTGTCGGTGGACGTCGGCTGGCTGTCCTGTGGCGCTGAGTTCTGCTGTTTCCGCTTCTTAGCCATTCTTAGTACATACTCAATTGAAGTTGTATATAATAGAAGTAGAAATTGGGAGGAGAGAAGAGCGGAAATCCGCTTGTGTTGTGCGTTTGAAAGTGGAGACGCAAAAGCTCGCGGCTCGGCGCCCGCACGCCGTTGGTTGCTTTCATCTTAACCAGAAAGTTGATTGTTGGGATGCCTACGCTAATTTTTCGTTAGGAAAATACGCAGCCGAAGCCATAGTGTCGACGTCGACCTAATGTCGACCTAAATGTACGCGCGTGCGCGCGCGCGCGTGTGTGAGTGCATGTTTATTACGAATATCTTGCCGGGCCTGACGACGCTGGCCAGCGGGGCTGCTGCCCAGCTGCTCCAACGATTTATTTAGCACTTCTTTCCCCCCCTAGGGGAAAGGGGAAGGGGGAGGGGCGTGAGGGGGACTGTCCCCTCTCCTGCTCGACATAGAGCCTGAACCGCCGGATACGGTGTTAGGGTGTACACACAGCGGTATAGGTCTACGGAGGAAAGGAAAGGAAAGGACAGGAAAAGCCCACCGCCTCAAACGCTGTGCCAGGAGACCGTGCCAGCGGCCAGACAGCGGCCAGCATCCAAAGACACACAGCTCTCAGCAAGCTGCTCTTCCCCCGAAATCCCCCTAATGCAGCACCAGGGCGCTCAACATCCCTGGTGGTGCTATGTCCCCCACCAGGGACATAGACATAGCGTCAGGGGGGGATGGTGAGCGCCCAGGTGTGAATGAAACTCAAATGCCTCGGGCCGCGGCTGGCTCTCAGGCGAGAGCTATATCCCAACCCCTTTGTACGGCATGGAGGCCCTCCGACCTACCTACCTTACCTACCTACCTTACCTACATATATACATACATACATATATACGTGCACGTACCCACCTGTCGCCATGATGACCATATCGGTAGGAATGAAGTCCCCAGATCGCAGAATGAGGCCATCCGGGAGGAATCGGAGGGGCTCGCCTGGGGGGGGGGGAGCCACGGGGGGAAGAGGACAAAAACGGTGTCGGGAGCTGGGTTAATATCCTGGGTTAAAAATTATTGTGTTCAAGATATGATATGAGAAAACGCATCAATTGTTTCATCGTTAGTTGTCACACGACTGTCTAAAAAACAAATAGTTATTTGGTTTTTTTTATAGAGAGTACTATTTTTTATTTGATTGATTTATTTCTCCATTATTGGTAAGAACAGTTTCGATTTTTCCTGAAAAACCAGCGGAATATACAACAAAACTTGGATTGCATTTGGTAGAAGATAACCAAAGGGTTAACTTGTCATCCACTTCTTGTTCTTCCCCTAAAGGGGATGAACTTTAGGGGATGAACTTTAGGGGAAGAACTAAAGGGGATAGACGAAGGGTTTCGTTTGTGTGGTATTATAAGCCCAAATCCAAAAATCTCTAAACATTGAATCTCTATCTTTTTCTTTTTCTGCATGTTTTAGGCCTATAGACCGTTTTACGACACGCTCAAAAACTTATCAATGTACGGCACGTACGGCAGAGCCAACACGACGTTGCACAGAAAATCCGAGCGCCCGCAACGGACACACCTTCACAACGCACAATCACATCGCAAAACATACAGACAAACTGTATGTCATACGACTTCCAAAACGTCGCCCCCCCCCGTGGGGGAGGGGGATATCTCCCCCCGTCCCCTTGCCGGCTGCAGATCTTTTGTTCGTCCAAGTCTAATGAATACGACACATAATCCTCACCACGTACGGCACGTACGGCACCCTCCTGCAGACATTTCAACCATTTCCCGTCATGTACCATGCCCCCTGTAAGAAGGTCCTTGTCCAGGGGCAGGGAGGGCAACATGTCGCCGTACAGTTGCTGCTGCCGTACGAGGGAACGCTCCAGGGTGCGCCAAAAGAGCCGCCGGAGGGGCCTTATGTTGAGGACATGACATGAAAAGGGGAAAGAGCAGAGGTGAGCTATGCTGTTTCATGATTACCCCAGGGCTCTAACGACGTACGACATGCTGTGGTGCATGACAGTTAGGTTAGTTGGCATGCGCAGGCAGAGGGCCGAGAGGTGCACTATGTCTATCTATACTCCTCGATGAATGCACACATACATACATGCATGCATACATACATATATACTTACATACATGTATACTTACATGCATATACTCTCCCCCACAACCCCGAAGGACTCACCTGGACAGCCAGCCCTTGGCCCTCCCAACCAACCCGGCGTTGTAGTACGGGTCCAGCATGGCCGCTGCCACACGACTGTGCAGCAGCCGGGTGAAGTGGATGCCGCGGAGGGGATACCGGGAGATGGGCCAGTGGGCCTGTGTTTGGGTTTGCGAGGGAGGGGGAGGGAGAGGGGAGAATGGGGAGGGGAAGGGGGGAAGGGGGGAAGGGGGGAAGAGGGGAAAGGAGGGAAGTGTGTGTGTGTATTCGACAGGACGGGGCTTCGGAAACGGTGGCGTGACTGCGCACAGGTTGCATGGGCGGATCTCGAGAACAATGCATGAGGGGGGAACGCATACACCACAGTGTATCCGTACCCCGTATTCCGTGCTGTATTGTCGTACTTGCCTGTCGTACACAGGCAAAACCCGAGTTTCCTAGGGGCTCCTGCGAAGTCCTCTTCCCGACACCCCCTCCTCCGTTCCCCTCTGGGAACGTCAGGTAGCAGTTATCGACTCCTGGACAACTCCTAACTCCTAACTCCCAACCCACCCCCCACCCCCACNCGGCCCATACCTGTCGATACACAACCACGGTTTCCTCGGCACCCGCAGCTGCCAGTCGCGTCGCCATGTCCACAGCCGTTTTTGTGCCCCCGATCAACACCACACGCCGTCCAGCAACCTACGCGCCCATATGTCATACACACACACACACACACACGCACACACACACACACACACACGCACACACACGGACAAGTACACACGCGAGGGGGTGCTGTTTAAATGATAAGAAACCGAGGGGCCCGCAACGGGGAAACCAGGGGTGGTTTGTCAGTCAGCCAGCCAGTCTGTCTGCCTCTGTCTGTCTGTCTGTCTGTCTGTCTGTCTGTCTGTCTGTCTGTCTGTCTGTACACGCCAAGAGGATCTAATAACCCTACAACATATGCGCAGCCCCGCTCTTCCTTCCTTTTTCCCCCTTACCACCATTCCAACCCACCACCCCTCCCTCTCTTCCTACCCCTCGCCTCAGCAAGCTCCTCGCGTGCTGCGGACGTCATGTCGAGGACGGCTGTTTAGTTTTGGCATTTCTGGATGACCATTAACAACGTCGTCGTCATCACCATCACCATCACCATCACCATCATCATCATCACCATCATCATCATCATCATCTTCACCATCATCATCATTGTTTTTGCATATTACCCCCCACGGGGGAGTACCCGTCTATACCTGGTATCTGCTTCACTCGCCGTGATCCGTCTTTACCCCCCCCCCACCCGGCCCCCCCCCCCCCCACACACACACGTGTTCCTCTGGCCCCACCGCCGGTCCCCGTACGGACCTGTTCGCTCAACTCCGCGTCACTAGCCGGTATGTCCTGCACGTGGAAAACCTGGCCGCGGAACTGGTGGTGGCCCTGAAGGGGGGTGGGGGGGTGGGGGGGTGGGGGGGAAGGGGGGGAAAGGGGGGAAAGGGG